GTTCTATGTGGACTGGCTCCCGGGGAATATCATGTGCCTACTTATTTTGAATCGTATATGCACCCTGCCAGGGTACCTATTCAGAAAACACTTCTTAAATGTAGTCTTTTGTCGTCTACTACTTGTGTGCAAAATTTCGTTGCGTCAAAATGAAGTGGAAGGCTTAACGCACTAACCTCTCTAGGCTAGTATTTTATTGTCGGTGTTTATTTTCGGAGAAATTCTGGAGATACGCCACTGCAAAGCTTTGTCGATCTGCTACCGTTCCGCCCATAAAACTGTCATCACGAACCGTAAAATCGCATTTTTCGTTCGAGCATCGGCTTCGTCCATCATCGCCAGTGGCGCCATTTGCATAAGCCCCGTTTTTTTATTTCTCCAACCGTACTTTGGTTCGTTGCATGGACGCTACATCGTCTATTAATACTCTCTTATTTATTTTCACCGCATTCTTATGCGAATTTCTAAAAGATCTAATTTAAATAACATGGACGGCCTTTAGTCACGGTTTTTTGTTAGATTTTTTCAGCTAGGTAGATTAATCCTGTTGTCCAATGGAAAGGCTTCTTACAATGTGCCGCAGTGACATTGTGGCACAAAAAGCACATTATCAGCTTTCCGATAGTCATATTTGTTACATCATTTTTTACTTGGCCTTAATTCCTCAACTAACATAACTTTGAGCAGGAGGTGCAGCCTCGTCTCATCAAAAAGGATCGTATTGGGTGCCTCCATGGTTTTTGCTTTTTGGGCATTCCTCTTCATATTCCTCCTTCGTTAATAGACTTGCACCTCTTTATTGGATGTCTTGATTGTCATTCCATTTTTTCTTGGCCTTTTTGTAATTCCTCTAGAATTTGGATTTGTCTCTTGCTATTTTAACTAGCCTGTTCATTTACCTGTAGCTCTTTCTGTCTTGTATGCAGTCGTTAATGTTTTCAATGTTGCGCCGTTGACTGGCATGTATGTTTCGTTGTCTGTCTCAAAAGTTTTAACCAGGGAGTTTTCAACTTCCAAATGTCACATATTCCACAGTACATTCTCATAGAACAGAAAATTTGTTCACAATCAGCTATTGTCAAATACAGGATTTCGTCGTTTCTAATTACTTTATGCACAACCACTCACATGCGAAAGCTTCACCATCGATAAGAAAAACACTACTAGGTATGAATTTGTCACTTAGAAATAAGGGCTACTTTGTCACTAAATGCTCATGTTATTTGTGGACACTATTTGACGTGTTGAATTCTCAGGCAATGTAAGGTTTCTGCCAACAATCAGTTGCGAATTAGTTAATAACTAGTCTCAAACTATCCCGTTGGAACAGAAATTTACATTGCTTAATTTAATGTTTTTTACATACAAATATATACGTATTCTTAAGATATTGCTTAAACGAGGTAGATGGTTTAACAAGAGCTGAGAAGCTTGGTGATGCTCCAAAGAAGTCGTGCGATGTTTCGTCTTTTTTAGAGCTGCAAGAATTCATGATTCAGCCTTGCTACAATAGCAGAGGAGGAAATTGAGTAGATTCTTAACAACGCTTAACTATTAATTGATTTGACATTAAAGAAATATATTACCAATAACATGATTGATACAATTTCATTATTCACTTACCTATGTGCGGTTATTGAATCAGTTCAAGATCCCCACCTCACTCAAATCTGTTCCGAAATAATCTTCATCGCCATTACCAACAAGTGGTTAAGATTTAGCTTTGACATATGAAAAGATTGATATGTTAGAATAGGCACAAAATGGCAAACACAAACCGCAGCTTTTTCAGCTATGAATAGCTGACTCACGCCATTTATTCTGTAAACGCGCATGCGCTAAAGAGTTTGAACTTTTGGTCCCTTTCAAAACCAGAACTGAATCAGTACGGAATATGTCAGAACAGCCTGCTACGGAATCAGTTCCGTTTTCTGTTGTAACGGTAATTTCGATGTGCGCATGCTCTGTTTAGTTCAGGACTAGTTGGATGGTTTGTTTTTACAAAGCTATAGAGCAAACATTGCACTCAGTTAACGGAGTTTTGTAGTTGTTTCGCTTTTTTGCTTTTTTTCTTCCTTGTTTTGTCTAAATTAGGAAAATCGACTTCCAAAGTATTGCTCAAGTGCGCTACCTTGATAAGACACCTGCCTCTTCAGTATATGCCCACGCATTCACACGAAGTGTTACAGACTTTTCACTTGCTTATCTGTCTGTATGCTATTAGCACGATATGCAATCACATTATTGCCTGCATAAATAAGACAAATTCATCTATTGCATTTACATATTTCACTTACGGTTGAAATATTGGTATGTGTATCGCATAAACTAACGCACTGTAAATATGTCCTCAAGGCAGTTGGGTAATTTTTAAGTGGTACTGAGATCCACGTGCCTTTAGAGCAATAAGCGCTTGAAGTTATAGAATTCATGAGATAAGTTATAATTGAGAAACTAAATTTCCAGTTCATGAAATCGGTATTGCAAATCAAGACAAATAGTCAGAGCAGCATTTGATACAAAAATGGAAATGTTTTTCAAACTGTTTTTATTTTGCAAACTGCTTTTGGGCTAAGTGCAAGCTCTGAGTGAATGCGAGAGAGATGCAACATATAAAGGTACCTAGTATCAATACGTCCTGAAATTAATATTAAAATCCTTATTTTTTCATATTCATCTTGGGGTCGAAAATGTACATATTTCGCACTTTTTAAAATATTGTATCACTTATATTTCGAAAACCATACGCCTTAGAGAAAAGTTCTCAGGCGCCTTTTTGTCCAGATTATCCCAGATAGCCTAAAAGCGCCTTTGCTGGAGCAGAAAAACACTTTTTTGAAGTTCTAAAGCAAGTTTGATGCTGGCACCATGCAGATTCGTCAAAAGGATCCCTTTCTGATTACAATGTCCGATTCAGAATATTTTCTCCCACCAGTTGCGAAGGTATTATCAGGACCACTACCAATTCTTGAAGATTTGGAACACTGTCAAACAGACAGAAATATTTTCATACTTTCTTATGCGGGTCAGGTAAAAATTAAAAATGGAGAATATCGTTACGTATCAGTTATCGTTACACACCATGAAATTCTGCGGTAATATCAATTAACAAGTGTCCCCTCTTGCCATTATCAAACTGCGCAATAGTTACAAACAAATCGAATAAGTAGTACCTGATACAGCGGTAGTAATAAGCATATACCAAGATTTAATTGTGGTTAGATAAAGTTGATAATGTATCGTTCTCAAGTGGAAGCGACAAGATTTAAGAGGGGCATTTCAATATGTAAGTAAATATGTATATTATCATGAGACTTACACGGTGAATCATAGCGATTTTGCCTCTCAGGTAATGGGGAATGGGAGTAGATACATAATAGAATATACTTCAACCTCCAACAAAGCTATGATAACCAGTGTAAAAAACAACTAAAGTACTGTGCAACTATAATGTACAAGTCATTCGATTTGGAATCACTACTCAGTTCTCCCACTTGCAATATCCGAAGCTTCCACTGGGTCCATGTTGACTTTTCTGCAAACGACTTTGTACAAGATGAATAAAGCTACGCAACGCGGGATGGAAGCTTCCAAGAAAAGCAGCATACTTTTAAGACACTTTCCGTAAACTAGCATGAGATCGTTAAGTTCTCAATTGCTATGGGAATGTGCGACACTCGTTTGTTTGAACCCAATCTGTTCCAAATAATAACTCGGATAGCTTACGAGCTCGTTGTAACTACATCTAACTAGGAACATTTGTAAACATACAAAACGCTCAAGAACTAAGAGATAACTGAAACTATCTACCACCTGATAACTTTGAATTGTTTTGATTTTATGCTTTAGTTCCTAGGTAGATGGGCAAATATGTCGAATGACAGCGCTATTACCAGAATGGCCCACTGCTATCTGCTGGAACTGCGGAATGTCAGTCCGCATTTGATGTTCCAGTCACCACTCTAGAGGACACCTCTATAGGTTCACGATTGTGCCGGTAGAGTACTTGTGGTCTACTCAACATTGAACAACTAAATATGCGTATTTCTTCCAATGTCTTGAATGTCTGTGGCCTGATAGATCTCACTCCTAGGATAAAGGGTATTTGCCATACTTTCATTCGTTGTGCAACTGATACCAGGCATACAGCATGCTGTTCCACATGGGTATCATGTAAAAACTCTATAAAACGTCAAAAAAAACCTATAAGATATCATTTTGCAAACTAGGTAGTTTTTGGGGCGCATACAGTCATTCCACGTTTGCTCACTAGGATCGTTGTGAACGTCCCTCTAAGGAGGAACCACTCAACTGAATTACACGCATTATTGGTTGCATATGTTTTGTGAAGCCAAATGGTCCTTGTCTCTAGTTTTTATCCCTGAGAAGAGAGTTGGTTGAATAGCAAGATCGCATCTGGATGAGTATGGTCTGCATGTGTATAAAATCAGTGATATATGCTGTGTGAGAAAATCATTACTGAATATGCTGCCAATGAAGTATATCTATTTTCTCTGAGCCCGACAGGTTATTTTTATTTTGTGCTTTCTGAAGAGAGGTTATGTTCAAAGTTATAAACTACGAAAATCTGAGGAGAATTACGAGAAATGTTAGACCTCCAGTAATGCCATCTCAGAAGCAGATTTTACATCACATCAGAGCTAAAGATTGATAACAACAATGACGTTTAGGCAACACGTACAACTAAGTGCTAAGTTAACAACTTGTAGAAAAACCTACATAATGTCAAAAAAAAGCCAGCATGTCAAAAAAAATCGGCATAACGTCACGTTTCAAAATTCGTGATACCAGTGCCTGCCAGTGCCGTTGTCAAAAATCACGAAGCAGCTATCCAAACTTGGCTTTGGTCGGATGGACGAAAGCAGCATGTTTGGTTATACGGCGAATATTTTGAGGGGATTCGGGGATGTCTTTCTGAAAAAGGATCAGTGACAAAGAGGTACTTTTTCAATTTTTCGGAACCAGATTTTACAAAATTTATGATGTCTTGCACTGAATGCTAATTCTATTTTATAGTTACCCAAGACACTAAAGAGTTTTTGCTGTCTATAATGCCGCACTTGTATCGCCCTCTTAAGTGTCGGTATATAACGTGCAAGATCTTTCCTGAGTAGAAGCGATAAGATTTAATACTTCTGTAATTTTATGACACTTTCATATATAAGCTTGATTATGAATGCAAATGTTGCACTTTGCTATGAAAGTGCTGATAATCGTCGAGAACATTTTCATTTTGTTTACATTACCATTTGCACAGCCATTATGTGGTTTTTGTCTTTGGTTGATAGATTGTACCGCAATGTTCAACAGATTATGCAACTCATAATGAAGATATTGATCTATATATCGGCAAAAACCCGACAAGAAACATATGTTCAATGGTATTACTGTCGATATTAGCTGTACATGGTGATTGACGGGGCTCATTATAATTATACCTTGGAGATATGTGGAAGTTAGTTGAATACTCGTTTGCAGTTAAAAAATACATGAGGACAATAACTTTTACTTTTTCCAGAAAGAAAACAGTTAGTGAAGCAATTAATAAAGGGTGTTTCGTGATGAAGAAAACATAGCGACCGCATGGACCTTTCCATATGGATGTAAAAACCCAAATTTATCCACGGATATACGGAGTGATTTATCTAAACATGCCATATCTCAGGTACTATTGATGAGATTTTCCAGGATAGCAGAGTTACCTAAGAATAACGTGAAACTAGTCGGACGGTTACAAATGCTGCTACTACCAAAAATAAAAATATGCAGGTCCAAGCACGGCATTTTCATGATACTTTACATGCTCTCACCACAACTCTGCATTACGTATAGGTACATAAAGCATACATGGGTATATCACACAATAAAATATCAAGTCTGAACCTACATCCCACCTTTTTGCATTTCAAGGTGGTGAAGAGGATCAAATTTTGTGGACTTGCGTACTTAATGCCGTTTTCCTTTTAAGCAGAACTCGTGTTGTTATACATCAGTTGGCAGACTTACATCATTAGAGAAATTATCGAATCAGTGAATATTTCATTTGTATCAGTTGTCTTTTTCTGTGGAATAATAATGAATTCGATGTGTAAATTACAGTTTGTTGAATTCAAGAAAAACAAAGAAATAAATGAAACTGACTTTTAAATATTTAACTTAGAAGGCCTTGATTTGGATGAAATGAAAAATAGTTGAAAAAATTTAGTGGTGTTCTAGATTTGTTTTACCGTTTGACAATGTTAATGGTACTCTTTGATGAGATGGCTATCGAGCAACGTTTAAAAAAAAAATAATATTACCTGAGATATGAGGGATTTGGTGAGTAGTAAATTTGTGTATCCGCAAAAAATCAATTTAGAACATTTTTACTTCATCATCTATACTACCTACATTATACTACGTCTATTTTCTCATATAGCACTCTGTATACCAAAAATTTGACTCTTTTAGCAGGACATATGGTCTCCCCAAGATGCTTTGCGGATAGATAGCTGATTTGTTTCATCTCCCCTGGAATCGTTTAAGGATTATTTCTGTGATCTATTGTTCTCCTGCACGGCAAATCCGATTAGTTTTTCAGATGGCGGTATTTTGCTTTGTATTCAGAATGCGAGCGCAACTCCGCGGTTAAGCTGACAAAAAGAAAACTGATAGCGATTTCTTAAGACGAAAGACCTAGCAGATACCAATACCAAGGGAGGAATTTGATGTAGAATGATGCTTTCAAGACTGTACTCTAACTAATGATAGATTAACGTTCTTTGTTAGAAATCCATTCGTTTCTACAGCTATTATTTAGATAAAAGATATGAAACAGTCTACCAAAAAAAATTTTCCCGTGTTCTGTTGACCTTAGTCCAAAAATTGAACCAAAATCCCTTCAAACGTTGTTTTTCTAGTAGTGGCGGTACAATATTTAGTTAATGTAACAACTGAAATTTATTCTATGGTTTTCATGTCTCTGGCCAATAAAGTCACGTGTATTGACAGATCTTCTTTACTGCAGTTAACGATTGAATCACAAAAGTTATCTTCTTCAATACAATGATATACATTTGGGATCACGATTTGTGGCACGAAAATGTCGCACGCTTGAGCATACTGGTGTTCTTCTTTCGTCATATTCTCGCATGCGAAAGTTTTTGTCAACGTTTGCCACTGTGCTGTTACTGTTTTGTCGCTTTTATAACGTTATTTGATTTCAAGGCAGATGTTGAAAGAAAGTTGTCAGTAGCGAAAAGGAAGGTATGTATTTTGTCTTATGAAAATGTCGATTCAAGAAGGCACTTCCTGAGTTTCATACATTTTAGCCATCTTACATGCGACATTGACCACTTGATCTCCTAGAAATCGTCTATCAACCCCCCCACAATCCACCCCCCCCCACCCCGTTGCCAGACTGTCAGATCGTAATAAAATAAGTACCATGCACTGTCTTAGAGACACATACTAATTATCTCGTAATCTGCTATTATCAAATAAATTATAAATGATAATCACATATTTATTAACCTGTCGAAGTAAACTAACAACGTAATTCAAAATAATTGACAAAAGTGCTACTACTGTGCGTTGGAGATAACCAAGTTCTGATTTGAAAATATTAATTCGAATATCTACCAGTTATTGCACACCGAGCATGTTTATTTTGAGCAAATTGACATAGAATTTCATTAGCAAGCGTATTTGATTTCTGATTTGAATAGGAATGCATGTGATTACGAAATATGTTTCTCGTAAGGTTGATGATTGAATTAATTTGCCAGGCTTAAGAGAGGGGACATGAGAGGCTGAAAATTTAGTGCCGAATGTTGATGATGTTTCACATTGACTACGTCTACACAGTGGCTAAGTTAAGGAGGTTTTGGAAACACACATTGACATTTTTTACAATGCTAAAAACTCTGTACACTTTTCGGAATCCTAAGACATGAAAGTTTAAAACATATTAGGAATCTTGGAAGTTCTCTGTTTCATTATATATCATACAAATTATACGAGTTTCTTGAAAAACATAATTTTGTAAATTTTGAAGAATTTAAGCTTTTTCAAAAATCCAGAAAATTTTAAAGATATATGAGATTTTTGAACCCTTTGCACATAGGATATTGGAAACTAAAGATTTTGAAAATTACAGAGGCACTAAATGTTGTACCGATTTTAAAACTTGACAAAGTAATCAAATACTAAAGGTCTTAAGTATGTAAAAATCTGATCTGTATTATGTATTTTAACATTTTTGAACACCGATAACACTGATCAACAGCCAAAAAATATCCTAAATAAAATCAACAAAATATTACTATTTTTAATGTGCTAAAACCGGAATGAAACTTATTTTTTCAATATTAGTTCAAGTTTTAGAGATACGGTAATTATATGTGTTCCTGCTGTGACAGTGTTAATATACTGTAATTCACAAGAATGCACGTGCTACATTTTTATATTCGGCAAGGAAAGATGATGTAATCGGCATGATTGTGTTACGTTATACATACGTGTACATTATATTGTTTTATATTAGCCATTTTTTCCTCAGTTGGCTCACAGCGTTCATGCAAGATGTCTCGAAAGTGTGTAAACAATCCAGATCAGTTTTGTTACGTGTGTGGTGATGTGACTTTTGCGTCTCAGAGACGGTCTATTACTCCACTAATAACAAAGGCATATCAGCTTTATTTCGGTTGTAAACTAGGTGATCAAGACAAACAGTGGGCACCCCACATCTGCTGTAATACATGTGCTACAAGTCTGAGGAGCTGGTTAAATGGCAAATAACGGTCTATGCGCTTTGCTGTCCCAATGGTTTGGAGAGAGCCTAATGATTGTTACTTTTGCATGGTACCTTGTGTTGGACAAGCCACAGATATGTCCAAGAAAAAAAAATCGGTTATTAACTACCCAAACATACCATCTGCGATGAGACCTGTGCCACACAGTGACGAAAATCCTATTCCAAAACCCCCAGAATCCTACACTTGCGAATCAGAAAACGAATCAGATCATGGCGATCGAGTGATTCGTCAGGAAGAAGATATGCCATCAAAGTCAAGAGATCCAGATTTTATACCGAGCACGTCATGCCACCAACCGCACAAAATAACACAGTCAGAATTAAATGATCTTGTAAGAGATTTAGAACTTCCAAAATGTAAGGCAGAGTTACTTGGATCAAGACTGCAGCAGTTGAACTTATTAGAAGACGATGTTTCGGTATGTGTTTTTCGTAAACGCCACAAAGACTTAGAACCATTTTTCAATATGGAGAATAACTAGGTTTTCTGCAGTAACATTAACGGCTTACTGGCGGCTTTAAAAATAAACTATAACCCAGAAGAATGAAGATTGTTTATAGACAGTTCAACATTGAGTTTAAAGGCAGTGTTATTGCATATTGGAAATATTTTACCATCTCTTCCTGTAGGGTATGCAGTTCACATGAAAGAATCATATGACAATATGAAGTACCTATTGACATGCATAAAATACGATGAGCACCAATGGCATATTTGTGGCGATTTGAAAGTTGTTGCACTTTTACTTGGGCTGGAGCTAGGCTACACAAAGTTTTGCTGTTTTTTGTGTGAATGGGACAGTCGGGCAAAGGCACTTCATTACACCAGACAAAACTGGCCTGTTCGTCAATTCCTAGAGCCAGGTCAAAAAAATGTACAGCATATGCCATTAGTAGATTCGAAAAAAATTTTATTACCACCCCTGCATATCAAGTTGGGCCTAATGAAAAACTTTGTCAAGGCATTAGATAGAGATGGGTCAGCTTTTCAATACCTGCAACAGAAATTTCCAAGACTAAGTGAGGCAAAGGTTAAAGAAGGTATTTTTGTTGGGCCACAGATTCGAAATATTTTGAAAGATACACAGTTTAAAAACACTTCAACAGGTATTGAAAAAACTGCTTGGAATGATTTCCGTCTGGTGGTCACTAATTTCTTGCGAAATAGAAAAGCTGGCAACTATAAAACCCTTGTCAAAAATATGCTGTCATCGTATCAAAAGATGGGCTGTAATATGTCTCTTAAGATACATTTCCTACACTCACACCTGGACTTTTTTCCTGACAATTGCGGAGCCGTAAGTGATGAGCACGGCGAACGTTTTCATCAGGATATTTCAACAATGGAAAAAAGGTACCAGGGAAAGTGGAATCCTTCCATGCTTGCAGACTACTGTTGGACTCTTGGTAGAGATGCTCCAGAAACAATCCATAAAAGAACAGCAAAAAGACAGCGCATATAGTGATTCTTATAAGTATATGAATCTTGTTACTTTTGTTAATATATCCTTAAAAATAAAAAGTGTTTTTTCTAAACCGCAACTAATTTTTTTATTTCATTGTCATTTTTGGATTCAACGCCCCAAAATTAACAAAGAAGTGCACTTTTCCCACAAGATACAATTAAAAAACTAAAATTTGTTGTCCAGTGTAACAGTAAGCGTTTTGAAAATTTGGTATATGGTGCAAGAGGGTCCCATGAACTAAGACGATCTATAGTCTAAACAGTTGTCTTGTATTGTGATCATTAGCAGTGACCGGCTAAAATCGTTTAAAATATTCCAATACAGTTCTGTACATCGGCACACGTCAGTCTTAAACTCTGCATTCGAACGACTGTACATAAGTGTTACTTACTCCTTAGGATGGATTTAGGCGGTATCTTAATAAGAATCTTGAACGGTGTTGGTAATTTCGTGTTGATCGCTCAGGAAGAAGCTCAACAGTAACGGTGAGGTTAAATAGATAATTGGCGGTTTAGTACTCTTATCAGTTGGATACACTTGAATTAGCGGATGCTGGTAGGTGAGAAGTTCATTTGCAGAAGGTGATATGTCCGCTTATAGAAAATAAGGTGTGGATTGTGGAGTACGCCTCTCGATTCCAATTTAATTTGTTTCTTATTGAAGACAGACTACACTGGTGTTTACTGTTTTATTGCACACGAAACGAGTCTCCATCCAGGATCACATATAGGGTTTTTCTATATTATCGTTGGACAAAAATTTTCGTGTGCGTTTTCCCTTTTTAGAAGTGAACAAAACATCGTGCACTTAGAAAATTTTGGTGGCAAAATTCAAATACGGGAGTTGAAAGCACAAAACAGAAAGTAATAAGACTGCGTCCAGTATATCTTCAGAACCGACGGCATCAAGTGGTCACAGTAGTGACTCGGATGTTGATGCGAATCGAGATACCTTATTGTTCCACTCTCGCAGTGCTCGATCCTATTAATAAATGACACTTTGTGCTAACGAGTTTCGATAAATCAAAAAGTATTGTGAAGCCGAATGTGGGGTAGAAAATAAGTTGCCTGGAACTCCAGTAGGTCCATTCATAAGACTGACGCCAATTTTGCTGTCTGCGTACCACATTTTTATAAACTAGTCCTTGTTTAGCTTACAGATACGAACGTCGCCATCATTTCAGGCGAGTACAAATTTGTGCACACGATAATTTTTGGTAGAGAAAACGAAT